ACCCTGTGAGCTACCCATATTCCACTGTGAGCTAGATAGTGTCCTTTTTGTCACTGGAATGTACTTCCTCTTGATTCCACAAAACCAGTTCTCCATTTTGTTTTGCACTGGAAACACAGACATGCTCAGTAATCCCTGGGGTTCCTGTCTGTCCTATGTGAGGTCTAGTCACAGTCTCCATAATAGACAGCAGAGTTGCAAATATTTATTGAAGACAAAAAATAAACCTCATGCTTAATCTGCTTTGTTTTCTGACTCAAAATTCTTTATAAATGTTTATTTTAAAGGCCTGTGTAGTAGATACATTGGAAGCAATTCTGTTTACTATTAAAAATAAGCTTGTGAATAGGCTTCAGGAGAAAAGAACAAATAGTATAGGAAAAAACCCTGATTATTTTGACAAGTTGTTGCAGAGCATCATTAAACTGGTATTGAAGAACAGAGATTTTAGTACTTCCCTTCAGAGTTCAGCATCAGCATTATACAGGCTATAAATATTGCTGTGTTTCTTTTATCTGCTATGAAGTTTGGATTCCAAAGAATTCAAAGAAGGAAAATGTAGTTTCTGGAGGCATGACATACATGGTGATCAAACATTTTAGCTCTAAAATTAAAAAAATATAGGGATGATCATGAAATTGCTTACATAGGTTTGGTAGTTAAAACCCCAGGTTTCTTAGAAGTGCTAGAAATTCTAAAAGAATAAAGAGTGCAAAAATATAATTAAATACTTACATGCCCCTTAACCAACTTTTTTTTTTTTTTTTTTTTTTTTTTTTTTTTTTTAATGCAGTGATGCCATTTAAAAAGAGAATTATTTTTTAACATTAATTTTGTAACCTGGGATTGAGTCACATAGAATTTAAAAATCTACACCCAGGAACAAATGCGTTAGCATTTTCTGTTGCTTACACAGGGTTTTCAGTTACTATCTCACTAAAAAAATGTTCTAAAACATTACAGGAAATCAATATCTATTTTTACAGGTTTCCTTTTATCTTCATCAGCACAATTGTCTAAACATGAAGTAATAACATCAGTAACAGTAAAGTCTAAAATTAAAATTATAGACTAAATCTCTATAATAGAAATTGAGAGGCGCAGAAAAATTCAGAATTAAGCCTGCCTACGCACTAATTCTGGCCTAGCTTTAAGTCTTCCCACACTATCTGCATTTTACAACTCTTCCAAATCAGCAGCCTGAAGTATTGCTTCTAGGTAATAGCAATGACATTAATGTCAGGCAGAGATGTGGTGCCTCCAGGATCCCCCCTGCAATGTCTGATATGGCAGATGGCAGTGACCATCACCACCCGGCTCTTTCTTGCCTTTGGGTAATCCATTAAGAAAAGAAAATGTCAGCTCTTTCCTTGCAGCAGCAAAAGTCCATCCTCCTGTTCTTGTTTTGGTAATAAAAGATGAATGTGCACTCTTTTGAACAATTCTATTCTTCTTTGAGAAATAGCAAGAAATCTTTAAAGGCTATGTGGCATTCCTAAAGTGGCATTTCTTTCTCTAAGGAAGGCAGAATGCTCTGCATTTCACCTGTGTGCACTCACCTGCAGTGAGTGGCCCTTGAGATAAGGCCCTTGAGACCTCCAAAATCAGGTAAGACAGGCTGCACAAGAAGCCCAGTGGAAAGACAGCCGGGTACAGACATCAGTCTTGTTGCCAGCATTGGCTGAACTGGTGGGAAACCGGAGATCCTGAGCGCCCTTTGTCTTAGCACACAACGTTCCCTGGGAGGACATCAGTTTTCTAGCTGGGTCGGTAGCTGAGACCTTGACTGTTCCCTTTTGTGACATTAGGCTGCAATTTACCTTAGGCTGCAAAAGCTGAGAACTGCAGTGCTACCTGATTAAGGTTCACCTTTCCCAGCTGGAGGAAGCCCCATCTATGCTGACTCATGTGAAGTGGAAGGGACCAAGCTGGCAAGTGCCAAGCTGGGAGAAGTTCTGAAAAAAAAGATCTTGGGAGGGCTGTAGGTTTGATAGGTCCCTGCAGGAGTCCAGCACATCCCACCATACCTTGATTGCAGGCTCCAGGCAGGGCACAGGGAGAATTGGCCACTCAGAGTCTTGGATGTCTCTCTTAAACAGGAGCAGAGAAGCTACACTTCTCTACAAGGCAGATGATGGACTTAGCCATATCACCTGCCTCTGCTGTGGTTCCTCCAGCTGTAGAATCACTCTAGGCATATTTTTTTCTCCTGCCTAAAGAGATTAGGCTTCCACAGATGAAAGCAATGTGCAATAGAGAAGTATTTTAATAGCATTGTGGTATTGTTTGTTGTACTTTTTTGCCAAGTGAGGTGATTCTGAGGCATGGCAAAGAAAAACTTTGATATCACAATACCCTCATTTATGTATATTGAAGAGAAAATCAAACTTTTAGAAACATTTGAATATTTTTATTTAAAAAGTAAGCTTGTGTCTTAGTAAACATTTCAGTAGTTTCTCTGTGAGATGAAAGTATTACAAAGAAAAATAGAGAATATAAAGATTGCTTTCCTTAGCAGCTTCAGGAAGTTTGTAGCAAAGTTTATCTCTTCAACTTAGAGATTTTTGGTTTAACAATTTTTGCTTACAAAACAATGCTCAATGTACAATAGTAAATGAAAGTTGTTTCTCTAACAACAGCTGAGCATGTACATAAAAGGTCAAATCTTTCAGGCTATGGTTTACCTTGTGTTCATTGAATGTATTATGAAGATGTTAAAATATCTAGATAAGGTACACAAAAGCTACCTAGACCTTTCAGTCAGTTTTGTAGGCTAATACATTATTACAATATACTATAACGTGTTCAAACTCTTATAATTTAGGTATTGAACTGGATTCCATGTACTCAGATTTAGTCCAAGCAAGGATCTGTAAGAAACCACTATTGCAACATACTTGTCATAGTAGAGGATGTTTACTTTGGCTCTTGGCTGTTTAGGTTATTGTTCACTTATTGTAGCAAAATGGAATAAATTATTTAGTTTATGTCATTATATCCAGGTAATGTTATAATAAAACATTTTAGGAGCATGTATTTCAAAGCAAAAATATAAGCAAGTAAACATGAACAGATGTCCTATGTCTTTTAACTCTTTGCAGAAAACCATCAGGGCAACATTAGCATTAGATCAGCCTAGTTGAACAAAAATGCTTTTAAAAAGTATGTTTAATTGATTCAATTATAACCAGGAAAATAAATGCCTAGAAGCCTTATCAGCTGCTAGAGTATATTCACTGCTCAGTATCATGAGAAACAGGAATATCATAGGGTAAGAGATGGAAGGATGTTTTTTTTCAAAAGATTATGCAGTGCTTTTAGACTCAGCCCAGGAGAAGGGCATGCTGTGTGAGATGTCCAGGCTGGGAGAACAGCCAGCAGAGGCACTGTAGTACAGATGTGCTTCTTTAACAATGCCCTTATCTGCTTTCTTTCCCTCTGTTCTTCATTACTCAGGGTTGGTTGAGATCAATCTTTTTAGAAGCATGAGGTTGTTTCTTTTTTTTTTCCCCCTTTTTCTCTTATGTGTGTGAGTATCTTGGGACTTCCATTATAGATGGCTTTATTGATAATTAATGAGCTTTATAGAACTTCTGGACACAGACAGTGGAGGCAAACAGACATGGAGGCATGTTTCCAATAGACAATGAAATTAAAAACAAAGAATATTTTTCTTTTAAAGTAAGAAAAATTGAAACATTAAGAAGTACAAAGGAAAGAAGAGGTATTTAGAATGAGGTAAGTACACACAGGCATACAATTTTTCTGTGGGATTTTGTGAATGTAGTAGTGCATCCCAACACCTTTAAAGTGTTTCAGATTATCAGGACCGGATTATTTTCTTGCCACAGTTACAGATAACTAAAAAAAGAAAAAAACATTTCCAGATTTTATATGTATATATTTAGACAATACAGTTGAAACATGGAATAAGAGAGATTGAATACCCATGTAGAATAGAATAATTTTCTAATAAATACAAGGAAAAAATTATTTTAAAACTGGAAATTTAAGAATTAAGACTGTACAAAGTTTATTGAAATCTGCTTTGTCATCAGTAACTTTGAGAGTAAAGTTAATGTGCTCACTGATACATGGGCTTTCATAATTAACAAAGTAATGTGTGGAACTTGGCAAGAAAAACAAGTCAGCAGGTGGCTGATTATTGGAACATGATTATTTTGCCCATACAGTGTGATGAAAGAACACATATTTAGTGACTCTTGAAGGTGGATGTTCTGATGACTGTTGTGCTGATTGAATGACTAAAATGTATTGTAGTCTAATTATCTTGGACTGTGCTGAAACTGTGATGCTAAGGCCCCAAAGGAACAGGAGAAGTGTTTTGTGTAGTGGCATCTCCTACCCTTCTTGCAGCTCAGCCACCTTTTTATTTCAGAGCTTTTTCAGTGCAGACTTCTCCCTGTTGAGGAGTTCAGAGTTCATGGCAGAACACAGGCTCCCCTGAAGCAGAGCACTAATAACAAACTGCAGTAGTTGCCCAGGGTTTGGGGGAAACTCCTGCTGCCTGGGACCACAGCTCTCTAATCTGTGCTTATTTCATGAGCACGTTCACTGTGGCTCTGTCTGTCCTCAGGGATTTTATCTCACTATTTAGTTTTTGTTTGTTTGTTTTTGGAAATATGCTTCACTTTCCTGGGTTAATGAGGTTCCACTGCCAGTGGAACTCTAGTGCAAGCAGCATTAAATTGAAGTACTTGTAGAAAGCCTCTCTGCAAATGCTCAAGCAGTTCAGCTGTAAGCATTCTGACAGTTATTAATTGTACAATCACAATCACAGCAGCACTTAAAAACAGATGAAGAAATAATTAATAGAAACTATAAGGAGGCTCCTCAACACTGTCTGCTCTTAATCTCTCTGTATTTTTCTTGCCCAGAATTAAAGGAGCTACTTAGAACTTTTCATCATTTTTTATTCCATGTTGCATGTACATACAGATAGAAGCATTATTTCACAATAAACTAGAGTATGACAACAATATTTAAAATGCCAATTCTGTAAAGCTAGGAGCCACTAGTGTTTCTTGTCAGATTAAGTTTTACTCTGCACTTCTGTGTATTCCTGCTTATTCGAGAGATATCTGTATAATATGGGAGACCAAATATGAAATGGGTCTGATGACCCAGAGCGAAACAAGCAGCTGGAGATGCAAGTTTTTGTAGACTGGTGTTTAAGTCATTGTTCTCACAGAGAGAGTGATGTCCCTTACCCTTCCTGTCAGACAACAGCAGTACTGACATTTGGGATGACATTTTATACTTTTAATTCTTTGATAGAATGTCTTATTTGCTATTGTAAAAATGATTGGGTCAAGGCAACTGTTGATGCTGCAGATGATCTCTGTGACTTTGTAAATGGCACTTAATGTGCTTATATTCCCACAGGGTGGTTGACAATTAATTCTGTAAATTAGTATCACCATCATCATAACATGGTAAGGTGTGAAAGAAACAGCAAAGACAATCATAGCAGCTGAAATCAGTAGCAGAGGCCTAACAAGTCTGTTCCTTCTCTGCTGACGTTTACTGAGTTGTAGCAGTGCTTTGAGAGTCAGCACATAGCATGTAAAGATGACTGTGGCTGGAATTAGGAATCTCAATACAATTTTGGAGAATGTGAATGGCATGGCAAATTGTAATGGTTCTTCAGTGTTGTCCAGATAATTTATGATGTCATGCTGTCTTCTGGCTGCAACTGTGCAGTAAATCTCAGGCAGTGATGCAAACACTATGAAGATCCATACCCCGATGGTGCAAAACACAGCCTTTTCTTTGTCCCACCACGTTAATGAACTGATGGGATGAACAGCACCTATGTATCTGTCAAAACTGATGAGTGTCAGGAAATACACACTTCCATAGATATTAATACTAAAAAATAGCCTTGTGATCTGATAAAATGCTTGACTGAAATAGACGGCAAACTTCTGGATATTATAATATACTGAAAAAGGTACCATAAGAGTCCAAGTAAAGTCACACAGTGCCAAATTAAAGAGAAATATGGTATTGGTTGTCCATGTCTTCATGCAGTAAACATAATGTCGTAGTGCAAGTATATTGCCTAGAAATCCTGTTAATAAAGTGAAAAGGCAAACCAGAACCAGCAAATAACAGTACCACTCCAGCTTAGGATTTCTGTTGCAAATGAAAATAATGCATGTACCATTCATCATCTGTCCATGGAATATGCCTGAAGGGAAAAGAGAGACCAACAGCCTTTAAAACAAGAATTGAGTTAGATATATTGCATTTAAAATTCAAAAATTATAAGTTAAATTCAGTGTGTTTGAACTGGCTAACGAATTCAGAACGTAGTATAATGTACAAACTCTCTCCTCTGTCTGAAAAAAATGTAAACTCTAAGAAGGTAACACAGCTTACTCTACAACACCCACACAAGCAGATCTTCATGAACTTATATGCAGAGCCTTATATACTTTCCTCTCTGCTATTTACTGTTGTGTACGATGGATGTGAGAAAAACAAGTGTGCACTCTCAAGTGAGAGCAGTGTCCTTTGGCCACTAATGTGTCTATATTTATCTTTGGAAAAAGCAGAGGAGGTGACAGAAGGACATTAATTGCCCATGCTCATTCCATCATTGCTTTGATTGCCTTGAGCATCCATATGCGGCCTAAGGGCAAGTTTCATGTGGGTAGCTGTGCAGTGAGCTGTGTCTGAGATCAAGAAAACAGTATTGAAACAAATGAGGATGAAATTCTGCTTTTAGTGAAGGCCACAGAAACTTTTCAATCTCATGTTCTAGACAAAGTGCTTTTTCTTTAATTTTCTTCTGTAAATATTTGCCCCAGGATTAAAAGATTGTACTTTGGTAGGATTAGAGAGTATTCTTTTTGTCTGACTTTATGGCCTATGTTGTATCAATTCCCATTATGGAATATGTGGAATATAGATCTGCAGTGTATTTTTGAAGGCAAGTTTTTTATTCTTGTAAAGTCTCATGCTTAATTCAAATGGTTTTTTTACTCCTAATAAAACCAAAGGCTGGAATATTCTATCAGAATGGGCTGTCACCAATTGCAGTTTTTCATGTTTCTAGATAATTTCCAAATGCTGCCAAACTGTGAGGTCTGTCCAAGTAGAAGCTTTGTATGAGGATGAGCCAAACAGCAGTTCATAGACCAGAGTCCGCTACAGTGCTTGCTAGGATGACAGAATAAAATCTTTCCCAGTACAGGCCACACTTTGAGTGGAAGAGAGGACCTTTCCAGAATGTTAATGATTCATTGAAAATTTTGAAACAACTTCAACCATGAAGTTGGCAAGTGTTTTTTTCCCTAACATAGTGCTTTGGTTTCATGTCATGCTTAATACAATAAAACTTTTCCAAAGGTATGTTCACATACATGGGTCAAAATATAACAGACAGAAACTGCAGTGAAGACCTACTAAATAAATACTGCATTATGGTGCTTTGCAAATGTATAGTCCATTCAGTTACCTGCAAAAAGCTGGTTTAGACTGTACTCAACAAAATCAGGAAGGAAAGTTTCCTGATTCTAGAGAAACTCAGCAACAAAGGCAGTCAAATGACTTTCCAGGAAATGATGCAGATAGAAAACCATCTGTTCTACTCACGGTGTATTTCTCAGGTGGGGAGTGTTTGTTCTATGAATTTTTTTAAGTATTGGAGCACTGGACTTTAACCTAGGGTAGCTATAATTTCCCTGCTCCTTAGCCTTTGTGAATATAAAAGATTATGCAAGCTGTGTAATTGTTTTCTTCCTCTGAAATTTATAAGATATCCCTGTAAATTCTTTAAAACGTGAAATATAAGTAACATTTTCTCATTTTATGTTCAATTAAAAGTAGTTTGAATAGGTATAGGAAGTTTATATTTTCTTAAAATCCTCTTGGCTAGTGTTTGTGTGTTCTTGGAATTAAATGGCATTTCCTACCTCTCTGCCTTCCTTTTCAATACTTACAAATGAAGGCACCAGACACTTGATTCCAAGTAGTGTTGGCTGTATAAATAAGTCCTAAACTGGCTCCAAACAGTAGCTATAGCTGCACGAGGGCTATATGTAGTGCCAGGCTCCTGATCTTATTAAGCTTCTGGCTAAGGGCTATAGGTAGGTCTAAATGGAGGGAAGCAAACAGCTGTGCCACCTGCTCTACTTTGTTCCAAGTGGCCAGATAAAGTCTGGATGTGCTAGGGTAGTCACAGGGTTGAACGAAACAAAATCCCCCATCTCCTTCATCACCTCCAGTTTACTGGGCTGCAGTCAGGGCCGAGCTGTATGAAGTTGGTTTTGTAGCTGGAGGGGATAGAGCTGCCCAGCTGTGTAAGGTGGATTTGGAGCTCAGACGGCCATTAGAAAATATGTTTGTTTGTGTAGGCATTTCCCACATGTCTCCCTGGGATTCCTATTTGAGTTTTCTAAAATATTTTTTCTGTCTCCTGTTAATTCTTTGTATTGTAGTAGAGCTTAGGGACCATAAATAAAACTAGATTCTTGAAACTGTGATTTTCAATTGAAGTGAGTGACTTACAGGGTGGACACAGGGGAACAGGTGCAGAGATAAAAAGAACCTTTCCTGAGGTAACTTAATAAGCAAGAGGAAAACACAAGGGGTTTGACCCCCAGCTTGGTGCTATTCCAGGATCTCCTGGTCTTCCATCAAAAGAATTTAAAGCCTTATGCAATCAAGGATGCAGTCTGCCTGCATGCCCTGGTCTGTGCTGAAGCCATGGGAGCTACCCTGATGTCCAGGAAATATGTGCTGTAATAATTTTCAGAAGTGACATTTTTTTCTGTCAGACAATAGCAAGTTTTCTGTCTGCTGTCTCAGCACCAACAGATTAACTCAAGCTACAGCATATGACCAGATTGTTCAAATCCAAAATTTTGCATCTGTATTTTAAGAAAACTTTAAGAAAACTTTTTTCTTTTTCTGAACATTGCAGCATTCACTGCTAAGTCCATGTATTTTTAAGCAAAGCCAGCCAATACATATATGCATATTGTACTGGGGCAGAAGGAGCAGCAGCATCATGTCATTTTAGTGTGCATACGTTGTTAGTACTGACTAAAATCAGATTTGCCAAACTGATGCAAGTAGAATTGGTTTTCAAAGTTAAAATATACTTCCCTACTGAGGTTAAATTTTCAGTTGAACATTTTCAGTCATTGGTGGAGATGACCTTGAGCACTAAGTGGGCAGAAAGAGCAATCCCTTTATGGGGCACCCAGAATTAAAGGAATACATCTGATAGAATGAAGAGCTTGGTATTAGAATATTATAAATATTCCTTGGAAATAGTTGAAGTTTATGGTTTCCACCACTCATAATTAAGACAAGAAATCATGCTGAATGCATTGGTAAGAACTTACTGTTTCTCTTGTTTCTGCTTCTGCAATTTAATGAGTGCAACTGTCTTAATGGGCTGTGGATCTAAGTATACTAGAAAAGCTTTAGTTTTTAAAAAAGTGACTTGTTTGACTCAATTTTTTTGTGTCTGCCTATTGAGTTGTGTTTTCTCTTGGACTGGAAAAAAAAACCTGGTTAGTTACTGCCTGGTTTGTTGCAGGACCCTAAACACTGGAATCTCTGCTACCCTGTGCTCCCCTAGTACCATTGATGTGCTCTCCAAAGACTTGGAGCAGATAAAAAGACCTGTTTCCAGTAAAAAAATTACATTTTGAGGAAACTTCTGGTGGAGCTAGGAAACATTATGATAGAAGAATCTTGATCTTTGTCTATAGTTAATTCACAGTTTATTACTGGTGGTCATTCATATGGCATTTGACTTGCATTTGCAAAGGCCCATTAGGCTTAACATGTTTATTTGGGGTTTTTAAAATATATAATTTTTTATGTGTAAATATTTCCTAGTAACCATGTTCTTCTCTGTCATATCTCTTGGGGTTTACTTTAAATTTTTAACAAGTTCATAATAAGCAACTAATTTTCCCTGAAGTGAAAAAACAAGAAAGTTAAGATGAGTCAAAAGCTTATTTTGTGTAATTTTATTCCTTATCTACCCTCTTTGCCCCTTGCTACTTTTTGTTTGCTATTCTTTATTTCTGTTGAGCTGTTTGGAATTGTATTTTAATCCAGTACAAGTCTATTCCAGTTACTAGATAGGTTTTTCAAATTTCTGACTATTCACACCCCATGATATTTCTGTCGTGTGCTTTCAAAGTGTAACCTTTTAGCTCATTTTATTAAAAAAAAAGAAGAAAACAAAGTATTATAGAGTCCTAGGTTTTGTTATAAAAATAACATAAGCATTATTTTCAATTTTTACTTTAACAACTTACCTGTTAGGTAATCACCTGATGCAGCCCATTTTTATTTCAACTGAATTGATAAGAAAGGATATATAAAGCAATGTGTGCATTGGGTAGATCATTTAACATATTTTAGTTTAACTGCATTTAGCATGTTATACATCCTGGTATGGTGGGAGCAGTAAGTAATATCTGCAACATTTGCATGCAGTTAGGTACGAAGATTGTGCTAATATCCAATTCTTTTCATTTTTATATATCAGTAAAGTACTATTTCTTTCTTTAAAAAGTTATGTTGATGAACCCTGCTTGAGAGTTAATGAAGTCCTGTATGGCAAACACAAGCTAAAGTAGAAGGAAAGTTGAAGTATTTGCCTACTGAAGGCAGTATTTATGAGAAGATTCTTTTAAGAATATGATATTTATATATAGTTGTAGGTATTATCAGTGTGAAATAATTAAATAGGAAAAAACATTGCTTTGGAGAGTACAGGTGCAATGAATATTTATTAAATCTTTCTCTTACCTGTTTTAGAAAAGTTGGAGTTATCTGTTATACAGAAGTCTAGATTCCAGGCTGTGTTTTTTCTCTCCATTAATCTGGACTTCCCTGAAATCACAATTCTATTTTGCGAGTACTGTTTGTTATCCAAGGTGTCGGGAATATTCCATATGCAATGGCAGCTGTTCAGAGAGCAGGTATCAAACTGCAAGGGAAATATCTTTTATCATTAAGCCACTCCTCTCAGTAAGTCAGGATAATATGCTATTGCCATAGCAGCCTCTGCTTGCTCTTCAGGGAAGGACAGAGGACATCCTCAGTCTAGCTAGGCCTGGGGCTGTCAGGGTTTCCAGCAGTGAAAGCAAAGAGTACAGGGGCCTGGGGCATGTATATGTGTGTTTGCACTTTTCCTTTCTTCACCTTTCTTCACTCACAGAATCCTTGTTGCTGCCCTATTACTGGACTGCTCTGTAGACCTCTGTTGCTCTTGTACCCATCGTAGAGCTTCATTCAGACCCTCTATACCCACCTGTCACTTCTCCTGCCTCATGGTTCCCACATCATTCCAAAGTCTCAGCTTTGTCAAGGAACCCATTTGCTAGCTGCTTAATCCAGAGCTCACATCCTGCCTCTTCTGCCCATAGCCCATGTCTGCTCCAGGTCCTCAAGTCTTCCTCCCCCAAATCTGCATCTCCATCTTCAGCAGCAAACACCAGTTCTGGGATCTTCCTGTCTGCCTGAATGAACACTTCAAATTTTTTATTATTTTCTTCCATTTTATAGCTTCCCCCTGTGTCCAGTCCTTATCAATGCCAAATGTGGACTTGGCAGTTCAACAACCAGCTCAGAGAAATTTCCTCCATCCCAGACCATTTTATATCTCAGTCTTGACACTTCCTGTCCAGCTCCTCATATTACTTCTGTTCTTTTGACATCATCTAGCACCAGACTGCACTGTCTTCTTGTTAAATGCTGTCCTTCACCTTGCTGCTTGTCTTCCTTTATCCCCTCTTGGCTTCTGCTGTGGCACTCTCAGCCTTGCAAAAGCAAATTCCCATCTCTTGTGCTGGTGAGGTTTTCAATACTCTAAACAATTCTCCAAAGGTAAGAGATGACAGAGAAGAAAAGATAGCCCAAGAAAAATATGTTTGTGGCAAAAATATTGTGAAAGTTTCACCTAACACCAGTGGTGAGAGTGAGCAGAGCTTCTTTTCAAGTGATGAGACATGCCAGTATTCTTTGAAAAAAGGTAATATTTTCACAATAAAGTATAATACCATATCATATTATTAAAGTGATTAGGTCTAAGAAAAATATACAGGACAAGATTCTACACAGACTCATAATTTGATTTCCAGATTAAACTGGGGAAGCAAATAATATTTGTCAGCAGACATACCTCAAATGTGTCACACTGTCTTGGACATGAAAAGCTGTCTTAGACACAAAAAGGGGAAATTATGTATCAGTCAATAACCTTTTTTAGCATTTGAAATGTTATGGCTTGTGGTCTTTCTCATGCTCTCTTAAAAATACTGCTATTGATAAATGATTGTTGCATTCTTTCTTCCTCCCC